GTACCCGTTGTGCCTTTTTGGTTTTTTTTTTTTTTTTTTTTTTTTTTTTTGTGTGTGTGTCTGTGTGTGTGTGAAGTGTTCTTTTTCTATCGTTCTCCTCATTTTCTTCTGCTCCGTCTTCTCTGTGCCTGTGTTTTCCTGTTATGTTCAACTGTGTGTGTTATTGTTGGGTTTAGTCGTACTCTGACGGTCTGCAGCTGCCGTGCCTGTGGCTAATGAGGCGATTACACCGCCATCCACCCACTGGCTCACTGGATTATAGGGAAGATTAGGGACAGAAAATTACAAGGATTTTAAAAGAGTTGCATTAGAACAGGAGATGGGAAACACAATTAGGTGAGATTTCACTCTATAAATTAGCAGCGTTTGACCTGAGACGAGCGCAGTATGAACGGCAGTATCTACTGTTTGTGTGTCGTGTCGTGTTGTCCTTTAACCCTCATCACTCAGAGATGGAAACGAAGACTTTAGGTTGAACGGACGCTGCCGTTTTGTTTAATTGAATCGTTTCAGTGTGACAGCTTGATGCGTCGCTCACCTGGTTGATGAGATTCAGATAAAAGACCTCTTCTAATCATCTCCTCCTGCTTCTCCCCCCCCTCCCTTTGCCTCACCCAGGCTGCTGAATAGAATGGCCGCTGATGACCGGCACCTGTCCTCCAGCTGTGGGTCCTACATCAAGACGGAGCCGTCCAGTCCCTCCTCGGTCATCGACACAGTCAGCCACCACAGCCCCAGCGGCAACTCAGACGCCAGCGGTGGTTATGTCAGCACCATGAACAACCACTCCAACGGCCTGGACTCTCCTCCCATGTTCACCGCTGGCGGACTCGGGGCGGCCGCCTGCCGCAAGCGCTACGACGACTGCTCCAGCACCATCATGGAGGAGTCGTCCATAAAGTGCGAATACATGTTGAACTCCCTCCCCAAGAGGCTGTGCCTGGTCTGTGGAGACATAGCCTCGGGGTATCACTATGGCGTGGCCTCTTGTGAGGCCTGCAAAGCCTTTTTTAAAAGGACAATACAAGGAATTTTTTTTTACTCATCTCACCTTTTCCTAACCTGAACGAGCACTCAATACCAGTTATTTCATCCTCATGTCACATCACCACCAAACACAGAAACAGCACTGGAGCTTACGCAGCGGAAATCATTCCCTATGTTACCAAAAAAAAAAAGAGGAAGATGTTTCTTCTGCCCCGTGACGCCTTAGCCATAATCCTGATTTTTTTTTTTTACTTACACACTTTCCAGTTCAGAAAGTGAACATGTAAAATACTATAACCAGGGGCGCTGCCAGGAATTCTGGGCCCCAGGGAAAGATGTTAGCGGCTAGCTGCCACATCCTAGCTAACTCTTTGAAACACACCTTTAACTCAGTTGTCACTGAGGCTACAAGCTGTTTAATTTAGAAAAATAAGTAGAATCTTTTGCCTGTTATCACAGCATCTCTCTCCAAGATTCAAAGATATCTGGACAGTATACTGTACAGATCAAGTCTTTTTTTAAATTATTCTTTTCTAATTCTTCAGACCTAAACTTTGATCTCGTTTGTCCTGTTGAAGTGTAGTGGTGGACCAAAGCCCATCATCACTTGTCCAGACCAAAGCCTTTGACTGATGCTCCTTTTATACCAAATCTTATATGTCGTACCAGCTTCTTTCTTAATTTGAATCTGTCCTGACGTTTTATGAGCGTTTTATTTCATCAGCGATACAAAAACCAACCTGCAGGTTTCACTTTTTATGGGGATTTTTGGCACAAGCTCTTATGAAAGTGGTGTTGGCATAAAAAGGAAAAGAAACAAGAAAAAAAAAGTGTGATAATCTGACGTGGTACGGAGTATTCCTGAGACCTGTGATGACATCATCTGTCATGGCTTGGAGGTGTGTAAACGACAGACGCCATAACTCAGGTTTGGTGGAGTGTACGGACAGCGGTGGTGTTGTTTGTTTGTGTGTGTGTGTGTGTGTGTGTGTGTGTGCCTGAGGGACTGGGGCACGACTGGCTATCTGGGAGGCATGATGTATCACAGCTTCTCATTAGAGGAGCAATGAAAGACCCCCCTGTGTGAAACGGCACTGTCTGCTCCAGATTCATCAGAGAGCCAGTAGATATTGTTGAGCTTAAGGAAAAAAAACACACACACACACACACACTGCACAACAGGAACAGCTGCAGCAGGTCTGAGCTGTGTTGGCTCAGTGGTGGGATACGAAAACAAACAATGCATTTGGTAAAATTAGCCCTGGGGTCGACTGGGGGGGGGGGTAAAAATAGACCCAGCTCCATCTTCTTTTTTTTTTTTAGTTTTCCTTTAATGATTATAGGAATCGAACAGATAACAGAGCGTCAGTCTGTCTGTCTTGATGTGAGGTGTTGATCCTGGAGCGGCGGCCGTATCAGCTCTGCACAGTCTATGTACCTTTTGCAAGGCAAACAAAAGCATTACGCCAAATCCCACTGTTTACCCGTGCGGCCATCAGCGATCCTGTCTATTGACAATAGATGAACTTTTTTTTTTTTTTTTTTTCTCCTCAAGTAACATAACTGGGCTTTTGTTCCCTGAGTAAAAATACACTGACTGGCAACACAATGAAACAGAAAAGAGGCATCGGGGAAGAATGAGGCGTCTTAAGTGGAGCAATGGCCCAAACAATTAAGAGGAGGGTACATGGAAGAAGGGGGAGAAAAAAAGAGGAAGAAAGAAAGCTACTCGTTTTTCTTTCTTTCTTTTTTTTTCTCCCTCACTTTGCATTGTCGATTTAAAATCCCTCTCTTTCTCTTCTTGGAGGGCTGCCTGTAATGGAGCTAATCTGCCGTCGTTTGTCCGAGCCACAGGAGTTTTGTCAATAACAATCAGCGTTTGGAAAGTGTAATTAAGGCCGAGGCTTTTCATTAGGAAGAAGGGAGGGGGCTGTCTCTGGGGAAAGGCATGCCAATTAGAAACTCAGGCACGCGTCGCCGGGTAATTTCAGGGAAAGGAGGAAAAAAAAAAAAAGAAAAAAAAAACCTAGGACTTCTTTAGATTGGAGAGGGACCCTGCTGCTCTTCCAGAGGAGAGGAGGAGAGGCTTAATGGCATAATAATCAGACAGGGGTCCCAGGCAGAGAAGGTAGGAGGACGCAGGGATTTTTTTTTTTTTTTTTTTTTTGGTGGGGTGGGGGGGGTGGTGAAAGCTTTCTGAAATGATAAAAGAAAAACACACGCAGGATTGCTGGGGGAAAAATAGAGGCGGTAAATAGAGGGATGTAGAGCCCTTGAAAGAATGAAAGGGTGCTGTTGATGAGAACTGATTAATTAAAGGAATAACGAGGCAGTCAAGGGTGGAGTGTGAGACGGCCCTCTCTAATGAGAGCCAAACAAAGGAGCTGTCTTTTCCAGCCCTTTATCACATTGTTCTGTAGCACTTAGGGCAAAGTGAGACAAGTTAATGTTAACCATGTGCAAGACAGATTCTTCATCACCTTGCGCTCACCTTGCTGCCGATTAATGGGAGATAACTGAAATGTTTGTAGCACTTTGTTACGTATTTAGAGCCCGAGCAGCGGCGGCAACAACAACAAATGTTGATTGACAGCAACACAGCACGCCGTCAATGAGAAACTTCAACGAGAGAATTGGTCCTGGTCGTGTGGAAAACTTAGAAAATCAAAAGTTTGTCGATCGATGACGAACGATCACAGCTTCACTACAGTCGTCTTCAGTTGTAAAACCAGTGCAACTTTCTGTTCTTGGCAAATTTTGGTCCCGTGAATTTCCTTAAATCAAAGCCAGAATCGTAATTGTAAAGAAATATAATAACTGGTCGTCCTACAGTAACCTAGAACTGTCCAGATCACCAACGACATGGTGTGTTAGCGCAGGTTAGCCGTTATTAGCTGCCACGCTAAAGACGATGTTTATTTAATCTCTTTGTTTATTACCTTGACTCAAAATAATCAATAATGGGAAATAAAATAATGGGAAAAAATATCGGCTGATTATTCGTAAAATCCAATATATATATATATATATATATATATTAGCACATTCCTAGTTTATATATTTCTGTTTCTAAACAACAGTATTGACTAAAATGTTTTACACCTGCTTTGCCTCTCTCTTTCTCTCTCTCTCTCTCTCTCTCTGTGTCTCTCTCTCTCTGCTCCTTTAGCTGAATCCCAACAAAAGCAGATTGAAGATCCATCTTCTGTCACCTGTTCAACCGGTGCAAAGCCCCTTGAACCCCCCGTGTGGAAATAGTTACATTAGTCAAGGCCAGGTCCAAATTAATGTCAGCCTGGATCTCCATCTGTCCTAGACCTGCTCCCCCCCCCCCTTCTTTTTTTTCTATTCTCTGTGCTCCTGTAATCCCGTGCCCCTCCAGTGAAAAGCATAAATCTCCTATTGAACCGTGTTTTCTTCCCATTTTGAACCCAAGTGTAAAATTGCCTGAAAAACCAACTGAACTCAGTGGCCCCTTTTTTATATGAAGTAATAGACCTTGACAGTAAGCCTGTAAAAGTCAGTTTAGATTTTGATGAGAAATACCTGCCATTTTACTGTAATTTACTTACAAGACCTGACTTCTCCCTCGCTGCCCTGGCATGGGTCCTGAAAAGCCATAAAATAGATTGAGACAGATACTTATCAAGAGAAGAAGAATGGAAATCTTTCTCTTTCCCCTTCATTCTCTAATGTTATTGGTAACCATGCCATAACCTCTCTCAAGACAGATAAACCCGAGAATGGCCCCGGGGTTAAAGGGGTACACGCCGCTGTGCTTCATTACCGAAAGTGAAACTTCCCGTACTATTACTCCTCAGACGGGCGGCGTCCAGACGTCACTTCTGAATGGGCTGGTTGTTCTAAAATGCACCAGTTGGATCTATCATGAGCAGAAGTGACTTCCATAAAAAAAAGCGCAGTACATGTGTCTGAGTCTATTTGGAAGCTGTTCGATGCCGACGTCGCTCCCCTAAATACTTTTTCATCCTGTTCACAGTCACAGGTCATTTGGTTTTACTTCAGTTCAGTCAGCGGAGCTGTTTTCTAGGAGGAGGGGGAAAAAAATCATAAAATAAAATAAAATACCTAAATATAAATAACTATAATTATAGGTTTTATCTAATGAACGCGTTGAAGGGCTGTTCAGTAAATAACCACTGGAATCGCGGGCTATTTTGCGAGAAGTAAAAATGAAAAACGTGCTCGTATTAATGGCGTAACATAAACGTAGTAACCAGCCTGTTACGGCTGTGGTTACACACATTACTAACGCTAACAAACATTTAGCCGCGGCCGACATAATTCTATATTACACACACACACTAAAACGTGCCGCTCCGCTGCTCATTAAACACAGTGTAAATATTGGAAGTACTTGTGTGTATTAATGGCTCCTTAGACGTGTACTTCTTATGTAGGAACACTTATTTAAACAGAAGGACCGGCGCATGTTTGTTTGTTTTTTTCATATTAGTTTAGCTCACAGGAATAGGGAAGCTAAATATACAATGCAGAAAATGACCGCATTTTTACAGTTATTTAACGCAAAAGAATTGTTATCCCCACGTTTTCCCCCAGGTTAAATAGTTTAACACATATTTCTTCTAATTATAGCAAAGTTCAGAAGCTAACTAAATTAGCAAAACATAGCAATGTAGCTAAAAGCAAATAAAGGATTTCCCAGACATAGGTCAAAGCTAGCAAGATAGCTTCAATGCATCCAAGAAATTGCTAAAGTATTAACAAGCATATACCTTTAAATATATATTTTATATTAGCAATCGAAGGACAACCTACAAAAAACATTTCTGGTAGCACTAATCTGTAATTTTCAGGCACACGCTAGGCTACTTCCATTCAACAACCAACCAAAAAAAGATCTAAATATATAGTAGAAACATTTGGACAGTCACTCCAAAAAAGGAAAGAAGACGACAACGCTAGCAACAATTAGCAAGAAAACGGCTGAGAAATCATCAGGTGTATCTAGGTATCGGTAAATCGAGGTACAAACCAGTTAACAGGAAAAAAAAAGACTAATTTTTATCGAAATATCATAGGGCTAGCTAACTTGATAACTCTTTATTCGTAGCTACACTGAGCTAATTCTCGTACAGAGCGTAAACGTAATGTAAACACAGCAGGCAGTTTCTGACGATGTTAATCAGTCACTGCCGTCCAACCCAACACAGTAGCTGTGATAAATATAAACCAGGAGTCCGCGGTTGTAAAACGACTTAATCTTCTCCGTCTGCATTTAGCTGTGAGACGTCTCCTCTGACGGAACTTCACACACGCAGCGGCACAGCTGTGTGTGTGTGTGTGCACGTGTGTGTGAGCGTTTTTCAAAGAGAGAGAGAGTTTGTTTTTGTTTGTGAAGTGTGTGATTATATGTGTGTGTGTGTGCACGTGTGTGTGAGTGTTTTTCAAAGAGAGAGAGAGTGAGTTTGTTTTTGTTTGTGAAGTGTTTGATTATTAGATAAAAAAGTCCACGTTCGCCCTGTGAAACAGAAAAGAGTAAAAGGGAGGAGGAGGAAGAGGAGGAGGAAAAAAAACACACTCATAAACAGTGTGTCCTCTGGGACGCTCCGGGTCAACTGCGGTCAAAGCCACAGCTCCGTCTGCACACGTGGTGGCCATTTGCTGCTATTTTGAAATGAGCGACACCAGTGAGCGACATCTAAACAGAGAATATCTTTAAAAATCATCCCATGAATTAAATCCTCCTCTTCCTCCTTCCTCCTCTTCCTCCTCTTCGTGGCAGATTGACGATTGCTTAGCGCTTAATGCGAAGTCAAAACAAAGACTTGGCCTCGTCGCCGTTTACCTCCAGCGCTGATTTCCTCTCAGCATTTGGGGAAATAGGTGTGTTTGTGGTGTTTGACTACAGCAGCAGAGCAGAGACAGAAGGAAGACAATCAGAGCTCATCAGTCCACCCCCCCCGACCCCCCCT